TACCCTGCTGCCCCTTTGTTGAGCAAGCCGCTGCCCAAAAAAAGGATCGCGCAGCCTGTCGGCGGGGCAGCTCCAGGCTGAGACCCCACAGGTCAGCAGCAGGGATTCTCCGACGGGGGACGAGCCGCTCACCAATGAAACTGTGCGACTCCATCCGACCCGGCAACTTTTGATCTGCAGGTAAGCGGCCAGGATTGGAGGATTGGATGAGCACCGAGGCCCCAAGAGGAGAAACATTGATGCATGATACCGGGGCTCGAATTGGGAATGCGAAGTGTATTGTCTTCTATGTTGCCGTCTCCAATCATGGATGCCCGGATTCATACCCGGGGTTGTCGAGTTCTATGTATGTAGGTTGGTTGACAGGTATGGAGGTACGGCTAACTCGAAAAAAACGGCAACCTAGGCCATGCTCCGCTCTGACGCTTTGGGTCTCGGACACTTACATGGTCGTACTACCGTATTATCCTGGTTGGTGCCAAAAAGCCACCATGCGTTCGTGATGAACCCGGCCGCTGTTGTCCGTTCCCGGAGAGAGATCAACCAAATATCTGGTGCGTCTGGAAAGGTTCGATTTGTGCAGAAAATGAACGTGTAAAATCAAGCCAAAGTCATGCAAAACGCGTCTTGGAGCCTGAAGAAGCTTGTTTCTACTTTTAGACTGCTTGGCATTGAGCTTAACCCGGTAGCCGCCCTTTGCGGGCCAAGAACCTCGGTCAAAAAGCTTCCTCGTTGAATGGTAAAAATCGTACTCTTTGATAAAAGCGCTCGTAAGCGCGTCGTCGCCTATCCTACCAAGTATCTTCTAAACCATAAACCCATCCATGCAAATCAACTCCGCCAGAAACACATCCGCTCTGCGCTAGCCCATATATCCGGCCCAAACCTGGGCGGAGAAAGAAGCCCATAGTATCCCTCTTAACCAAAAACGCCGTTCGCTATGCATAGGGGGAAACACACAACCCGGAATGAACCCCGACCATTCCCCGCCTCCATCTTCAATAAGCTGTGGTGGCCTAAACCTCAGGGGCTTGAGTAAGACGCTGCGGAAAATCTGGCGGTATCTGACCCATATCTTTATCCTTCGCCGGATCCGGATTCCGAACGACTGGGCGGGCGAGCCATTCTAGGGGTTCGTCAGAGTCCGGTGACGAAGGTTGCCGCTGACCGGCAGTCTCATCTAGCTCACTCGCTGGCGTCGAGGTTCCGGGGATAGGGAGACCCTTGTCGAACGGCATCGGAGGGTCCGAATCCACCGGAGTTTCTCCATCTTCCGGTACCATGCTTGGGCTCTGAATGACACGGCACGGTGTCGGGTCCGCAAGGGGCATGTCCGCCATCTTGACATCCTCGGAGGCTTGTTCCACAGAGACAGGCCCATCCGCATCCGCGATTAGGATTGAGTTGGGGTCCACGCGATCGTAAAACAGCATGAACACACCGCCCTGGGCGAGAACAGTCCGCTCATCCACTTGAGCCCCGTGCTCGTCACTCAACCTCCACCACTGGGATTGCGACTCGTCTTGGCTTGAGCACGATCCACCTGCCTCGCTCGCGCTGTGTTCTGCGTCCCCTAGCTCCGTCTCGTCGTCTAGGTCCATGGCGTCAACAGCCGCATTCTTCCCAGAGGCGGACCCGTCCGGTGTCACCGCTCCGTCGCTCTCGCTCATGGCCAGGGGCGAGGAGAGGGGATGTTTCCTGTAGCAGACGTAGTGGCCGTTCTCGTGGTGTCCCTGGTGCGTGACTACCGCGCGCAGTTCGTAGATCGGGCCCGTTATCTTGCTCGGTTCCCGATCTCCCGCCACCATGGATACGCGTGGGTCCAGGGTCCACTGCTCAACGTCCCGAACGGCAGCCGCGCCTTCTTTCGAAGCCACCTGGCCATCGGTACTGCCCAAACACCAAGGCCCTAGGTCTAGCAGCAAGGGGAAGCGGACAGCAGCCGAGTTCTTGAACATGTAGCCCGTCTGTTCGTCAAAACCAGACCGGTTGACGTGGAAGACTAGGCTTGGCGGCGGGCGCGCCAGCACAACCTGCTTCGTTTTTGTAGAGCTGGCCCTCATCTTCGGCGTGATTTTGCACTTCTCCGCCAGAGTCTCATCGTCGAACGCCTCCTCCTCCAGGGCTTCTTCCAGAACTTGCAGCCTCTGTTGAAACTCGGGGACGGCCCCGGTACGCTCAGCAAGAGACTTTATCACATCTCGAGCTAGGAGCAGTGAGCATTTGACGCACTCAACGCCCTCGATAGACTCGACTTTGGTGTAATGGTCGAGACGCTCGTAAAGATCGTGTTCCGAGAGGTTACCGAGCGTCAACGTCAGGCAGTTGAACGGAATCATACTCAGCCCCTCACAATAACCACAATTAACGCAAGCCACACGCTGTGCCATCATCCCTTCGAGCGGGTTCCGAGCAAGACGGGGAGCCTCCAGCCCAGGCTTTGGGTGGCCATGCAAGCTTTGGTATCCACTATCGTCGCTGTGCTGGCTGGAAGAAGAGTCGTAGCCGGCGCGGTCGGATTCAAGGCCCGTTGGGTCTTTGAAAGCACGGGCAGCCTTGGCGATTTCATTGTCGATTTGGTCGAGGAGCTTCGAGTAGTACTCCTGTGCGTCTTGTTGCTGCCACGTGCTCATGTTCGTTAACGCCTTGGGCGTCCAGAGTGTCCTGCCATTGCTCGAGGGGTTGGTAAGCTCGGCAATCAGCTCGCGTAGCGTATCGACGGTTCGAGTGGGGGACCGATCGAGCCTCCTCTCGAGAGAGACTGCAGATAGATAGGCCGGGAGGGGCGTGAGCGATGCCAGGCCCTGCAGGATGCTGTTCTGGTAACAAGAATTGTTGTAATTTCCCAGACCAGCCGGTTGGTCGGCCGCAGCTCCTCCCCTCAGAGAAGCACCGGTGAGACCGTTCAGGCCTTTTCGCCCAGCCTGCGCCACAGAACCAATAATCCCGCCCGCATTATCAATTCCCAGAATCCTTCTCAGGGCATCGCTTTTGGCGGCACGTGTCGGCGGCTGCGTCGTGAGCATGTGTGTCGGAAACAGTGGGGGGTTCATAAAACGGTCAATAGCGAAAACGACGCGCGCCGGGATCACGCTGACGGCCGCGTCACATGCGCGTTGGAGAAGCGAAGAAAACCGGCGCTGCTGGTGCGTCGCCTGGTACACTATCGTGGCGACGAGCAAGGCAATCGTGATGATCACGGTTGGGTTGTTGAATCGGTTTCGCAATTGTCCGTCAGCGCTGTATTGGTACGAATCAGGGATACCGCGAGTGTCGAACTTGCTGAAAATGCGTCGAGCGTCGGAATTCATTTCTGTTGGCGAAAGAGGGCGGCGGAGGGCAGGGAAACCCAGGCGAAACCTAGCAAATGGGAATGTGATGTTGGCTCAGGAAGCTGACGGTGTTGAGAGCAGGAATGGATACAAAAATGCCATGTCCGATAAGAGAGAGGGTGATCTGGCTCAGCCAAAACAGATGAAAGAAGAGCTGTACGATTGACGGGGGAAGCAAAGGCGGGAAAGAGAGGAAAAAACTGAAGTTCGATGCACATGCGCGATGGCTTCCTTGTGCTGGGGAAAACACCTTGGCCTTGCCGGCTGACGCAGTAATTGGTCGCCTGGAGCTTGGGTTGTGGGGTCATCTGCATAGGGCGACAGGGCGCCTTGCCGGCAGGTGGACCCGAGCCCGGACCCCACCGAAAAAAGAAACAGCAACAACCCCCCACACCAAAAAATTCCCAGCGATAAGAGGTTCTCGAACCACCCGCGATATCGCGGTTGATAACGAAACAACCGCCCGACACAAAAATGGCCAAAGGCAGCGTCGCCAAGGGCAATAAAGGTACAAAATCCCCGAAAACTACATAACAACCCCTTCCCATGCATAGCTAACTCCCGTCCCCCCGTTCAGGCCCCTCAATACACTCCCGTGCAGCGCGGCGGGCGACCTCCCCGGGCATCGACACGGACAAGTCGCTCAAGCAGGTGCGGGCGCCGCAAGAATCGGTCGATCGGCGGCCCGCGGTGCTCGCGGCGCACCACGCAGGCGGGGTGAGCAAGAAGGCCAAGTCGGGCCGCAAGGCGGTGCTGAGCACGCGGGCGCGGCGGCGGCAGGAGCGCAGCATGGACCGCGCCGAGGCCATCATGGACCGCACCGCCGTCAAGGTGCAGAAGAGCAAGGGCCACGCCCGCGTCATCCACAACCGCCGCAAGACGTGGGACGAGGTCAACCGGGAGGCGTTCGAGCTGGAGGAGCAGCGCAAGCTCGGGAAGAAGGCGAAGGCGAAGATGGAGGAGGATGCCGCGGTAGCGGCGTTCTATGCGGATGATGGTGATGCTGAAATGGAGGGTGCTGGGGATGATTGGGAGGAGGTGGCAGGCGAGACGGAGGCTGTCTCGGTATCAGCGGCGGCCGCGCCGGTCGATGTGGTGGAAGAAGATATTTTATAGGTTTAAGCTCGCGGACGGCTTATTTGTGGGCGCTTTTATCATACGAGGACTTTGTCGTACCTGCTGTGCCGTCAAGCAACAGGTTCGCAGGGGCACCGCAATAACGCTCCAGGTGCTCCGCCCAGAACGGCAGTTAGGGAGCAGGTTGGAGGCAAGAGCAGATCACTCCAACTCATGCAAAACCAAGACAAACCGGGGCCGGTGGCGGGAGAGACCAAAGGGTACAAGAAGGTCAGGATACGCAGCGCAGAGGCATCTCCGGAAGAAACACGGGCCACTCCTTGTGAGAATACGGGAGCGGCCAAGAATCGAGAGGTTAGCGTTCATGCAATCAAGAGAGGAAACTCCATCTGACAAGTGCATTATACAGGTAGCTGCATACCCATAAACTACTTCTCTAGACCGGTGTGATTTCACAGTACCTGAGCTCAGCAACGCAAATAGAAGCGAACTAGGTCCTAGAGCAAGTCAATCGAAGACCGTAAAAGCGTGTTGACTTGGCGCTGTCTCGCGTCTTATAAGTTATCAACAGTGAAGATTAACTTTCAATAAGCGGGTTTAGCTCAGTTGGGAGAGCGTCAGACTGAAGTAAAACTTCGGTGAAATTCAATATCTGAAGGTCATGTGTTCGATCCACATAAACCGCAAAGAAGTCATGTCTTATAAATAGGCAGTGATTCCACTTATTTTTTCATCTTCCCAGCCGCACTTGCTCGGTACCATGTACTTATATTTTGCTCAGTTACCGTAGATGTTGTACTTACCTACTTTTCCCTGATGAGTTGATCCTTGATAGTTGATTCCGTGGATGATTTGTGCCGGTTCGGGTCACCTAGGTATTAGCCGTCCAGTCCCCTGATATCTGTCCCATTGAGACTGGAGACTAGGGTTGTGCCTTTCGTCCTCCCTATGGAAGGTTTTCCCCTCATTGACGCTTCTCAAATTGAAAGGCTCGGTGCAACTTGAGGCCGTGTTTAATTTCTCCGTACTGAGTGGTTCCTGCTCATGTGTGTCAGTGTCTTGCCGTTGAGATCCATTCGGGGACGTTACTGTAAACCTCGCGACTAGACTCCAACGCAACTTGGCCTCACACCCCAATAAGACTACGCCTTTGATTTCACTGTATTTGACTGATTTACATACAGCCACCACTCGCCACATAAAGTGACTGGCATTGCAAGATTCCCTCAGCCGCTCCAACAACCACACAGGTTATGCCTTGTGTATACAACCGCTACCTGGGCTGCCACACGAGGAACGGGAACTCGCGGTTTCCGATCGGCGGGTTGATGTCCTCGCGGACCGGCTGCTGCTGCTGAAGTCCTGGCATCGATGTGGGGATCCATTCACCACCACTGCCCCTTGGTGGCGTTACGGGGGGTGCAATCGTGAAGCTAGGGGTGCTGTCGTTGACAACTGTGAACGTGGAATAATCCTGTTCCACATTAGAGCTGTGTCGGGCCTAACTGCGCTGTGTAGAGGTAAGGTATTTCCCATGCGCCGCGGCGGGGAAGCCTCTAACTTTCAGGCATGGTAATCTCAACCACAACCCGACATCACCCTCGATTTCCAGCCTCCAGGACATAATGCAATGATAATTCGCCTCTCGGGGACTGGCTGCGGCTGCGTTCTACGTCAGATGTTAATCCACAGCTTTGCAAATGGATCAGCCGCCATTTCCGGTGTATCTAGATGGATAAGTACTGGGAGTCTAAGTAAGTACCTGGTAAATCGGCTGTTCAATGTTGGAAGCCTGAGGTTTACGAACGGGAGGAAGTAAGTGGCGGCCAAGCCAGCCCCACCCCCACCGGGGTATCGGTGCCAAGACCGATCGATCTGCACAGCTCTTGAGCCTCACCCAACAACAACCCAACTACGAAGCAACGCCGTGTGAAACTTGCATCAAAATCGAACAACGACCGGATACAGCTCTCATACCTCCCGCGGAAAACTAAAAAAAGGAATTGAAACTCCAACAGCGCGCAGTCATGGAGTCAATCGCCAACCCGCGCATCACCTGCCCATACCTCAACTCCTATGTGGGCAAAAGTGTGATAATCGTCGGCAAGGTCATCCAATTACGCGGCGAGGAGGCCATTATTGACGCCGACGGAAACATCACGGCCCACCTGAACCGCGTAAGCTGCTTGCTGTTTTGACCCTCCTCCTTGCATGTTTGGTTCCTTTCCCTCCTCACCGTCCATGGCCTCTGCTCGGGTTGGGACAGAGGGGTAGATAGATGGTGGGGGTCACAACGGAGATGAGATGAACCACCACCACCACCACCACCTAAGCCCAGCCGATTTCGCGGGAGAACCACAGCTCACACCACGCAACGCAGGAGGCGCATCTTCTCGCCGGCAACGCCGCGCAGATCATTGGCAAGGTCAACCCGGATCTCTCCATCAAGGCGCTCAGCTCCATGGACCTGGGCACCGGCGTAGGTAAGTCATCGTCAGACCCCCCCTTGCTCGCACCTCTCGATAGTGAGGTGAAGAAGGAGGTGGCAGGACTGGATTGCACCGTGTTGAGTGTGCTTTGCTTGGGTTGAGTCCTAACGCCACCGAACAGATTACAACCTGGCCAACTCGGTCGTGGAAATCTCGCACCAGCATCGCAATCTGTTCGCCTACGATTAAGCGACAGCTATCAGGGCTGCTGAAAACGCACGATGGCGGGCTTGGGCAATCTCCGTCTTTGCGACTCTACCCCCGAAATCTAATGACGTGTGGGGAACCAAGGGCCATGCAGTAGCAAAAGGGATAGGCGGTGCGTGAGCCGGCTTGGAGCACAGACAGATGACCTGAGGGAGAAGGGCAACGGGCAGGGAGTCTGGTCATGTCTGAATGCAGGCGATACCGGTACGCCGCACCTGAGGGCAGATAGTCAATGCAGGCACCGGTACGACGCGAGTAGGGACAGGGGGTTGTGCTCAGCATCTCGCTTGTTTCAGGGTTAGATGGCAGTCGGGCACTGCTTGGTCAAAACATGCGCAACATGTGATACAAGTCATGTATTGCTCCGCTGTTAGGACCATGGCCCTAGACCACAGCTATAAATCTAACTACCTTGCGATCATTGGGCTCGAAGGCCACCCACCGCATAACAAAGCTCTACTCTGCTCACGGCAATATCGCCAGTCTCTCAAAACACCCCCTCGCCCACCCCCTCGGCTCTCGACAAAAAAAAGCAACATTGCTCGTGATGTCGTCTGACAATTCGTAATAAACCTCTTTGTGGTATCCCCGCACCATAGCCCGGACTGCGGCCAGCAAGACAAGAAAAGTCTGCACATATCAACTCCCAAAACAAATAAGCAAGGCCGAAAACGCTCGGAGCAAAGAACCAAAAAAAAAAAAAAAAAACAATCACCCAACCACAATCTCTTCACCTCCCACCTTTCGCCCCACCATCCCCGCCCATCGGCTGCTGATCCCACAACCCCGAATCCTGCAACACGCCCCCAAACTGCTCCCCCACACCGCGGCCGCCCGTCCGCCCACTCCTCAACAGGGGCGGGCTACTAGGCATGACCAGGTCGGTGCCCAAGAAACTGCCAAAGTCGACCACGGCGTGGCCGCCATCGTCGCTGCCGGCGCCTCCTCCGCCGACGTCGAGGTGGCCCAGGTCAAGATCCCCGACCGAAGACGAGGCCACCGCCGTTGCCGATGTGGCAGGCCCGGCGCCCCCGTGGCGAGAGGGCGAGCCGATGAAGTCGTTAGCTTCGCTGAGTAGCTGGTGTAGGGTCGCGGTGAAGGGCGAGTCGAACGGCATGGGCATCTGCAGCGCCATGCCCATGGGCAGCTGGTTGTGCTCGGCCGTGTCGAGCGCAAAGTGGGCGTGGGCCGTGTTGCCGCTGCTGCGGGGGCTGCGCCGTCTGCTAGCGCTGCTGGGGTGGAGGAAAGCACCCGAGGAACGTGGGGTTTTGGTAGGGGTCTGCTGGAGGTGATGGCCGGCGAAGAGCTGGCCTGGTGACTTGGGAATGCTCCTGGTAGACCGGATCGAGCGGGAGATGCTCCGCGTTATCGGGCGGTGGCTTGGCGTCGGGCGGGTCGGTGTCTTAAACGGGCCTGCTGCGGTCTTGGGAGGCGGCGTGGAAGGGCGTCGGGGAGGTGTCCCGAAGAGTTCCTGTTCAAGTTCAAGTTCGTCTTCAGGGACCGGAGTGCATTGGCGCTCCTGGTGTGCGTCGTTCTCCTTCCCTACTGTCGCCGACTTCGCCTCCGGTCCGTGCGTGGCTGCTTGCGTCGTGTTAAGCGAAAGCTCCCCAAGAACCCTGGGTGTCCCATCCCTTCTGGGCGACGGGAAGAGCAGCCTTCTAGTGCTGCCCAGTTCGTCCTCGACTGCAATGGGGCTGTCGGCAGTTCCACTACCCCGTGAGTGAGTCGATCCCAAGAAACGCTGTCTCGGGGAGCTCTGTAAATTTAAATGCTGTTCGTCGGCAATTGTGACGCTATGTTGACGCGACTGAGCCTCGTTTTCATAACTGTCAATGAAGAAGTCGTGGTCTAGCGGCCCGATCGGGTCGGTAGTGAAATATGCCTCCGAGGTAGGGTTGACCTGGACATCGCTCTTTGCGCGGCTCTTCTTGGACCTCGAGTTGCCCTTGGGCTCACGCTTCCTCCGCGGCTGGTTGAGCCGGGCAGCGTCCTTGTCCCACCGGTCAGGCGGCCGATGCACCTTGAATTTTCCCAGCCATATGCCACAGGGATTGCAGAGCAGGGTTTCTACCCACTCCTGCTTGTCATCCTTCGGCCCAAGATTCTTTTTGACCACTTTGTACTTGGCAGGTTTTTCGTCTTCATCCCTCTCCAGGACCTCTATCATGGTTACACAACCCGGTTTGTCCGAAAATTCGTGAAAGCCGGGGTCTCCATCACGGTCCTGAGTCCAAATCTTGCGCCACGTTGGTGTCTCGATGGCGCCACAGTTACTGCAGAACGGAGGCTGTTCTCCCCTCAAAATCGCACTCTCGAGTTTCTCTTTGATGGACTGTTTTTTGACGAGGTTCTTGCTGTATCGTGGGGGATCAGGATCGCTCGGGGGGCACGGCGGCTCGGACGCTGCTGTGCGGGGCAGGGCTAGGAAGGGTTCTGGAGCTGGCTGGCTTGTTGCGTTTGCTGAGCCCTGGGCATCGGCGACCGGAGTATCTCTCGAAGCAGGTCTCGAGGGCGGTCTTGACGGCGGTCTCGACCGCGGCTGAGTCGGTGCGGCTAACGAGGGCTGAGGTTCCGGGCGTTCGGGGATCGGCATGGGCATTGCAGCAGCCGTGATAGGCTCTGGAGGGAAGGTCCCTGGGTACCTAATCTCTGCCTCGTTTCCCGTGAGTTGCATCGAATCGCCCGCGTTAAACGGCGGCTGTTCCGGGAACGGCTGGTGTTGTACAATATCTTGTGACAGGCTGTTCTCGTTCGCGTGGTGCGCTGGGTTTTCTTGTGCGGCCGGATCCTGTTCGGACGCAGCCGGGTTTGGGGCAGTATGCGATCGTTTGAAGGTGCGGTTTGCCGACTTCTTAGGCGCAGACTGAGCCGCGGGTGTCTGTCGGTTCAAAGCCTTAGCTTTGCCGGCAGGGTTGAAGATGCTGGTGGTGGGCAACAGCTCTGGTGGCCCGGGGTTGACTTCCTGGAACGGAAAGTTACTCGGTTGCTGT